GTCGAGATACTGCATTTTTACGATATTGTTAAGCAGAATGCCGTGGTCCCCCTCAGGAACACCAGTAAAACTGAGTTTTGAATTTCGACTTGAAATTTGGCACAGAAACAGACCTCAATGAGAGTAATTTATTGTAAAAGTTTCAGATCTTTTGGTTGTTCCTATTCTGAAATAAGAACATCAGAACCTGTCGGGGGTATACGAGCAGTGTAAAAACACCCTTTATAGCCGTATCTTAGGATAGGAACAACCAAAAGATCTGAAACTTTTACAATAAATTACTCTCATTGAGGTCTGTTTCTGCGCCAAATTTCAAGTCGAAATTCAAAACTCAGTTTTACTGGTGTTCCTGAGGGGGACCGCGGCATTCTGCTTAACAATATCGTAAAAATGCAGTATTTCGACAATAATAAGCTAGCGGCCCGAACTCTTTTCAGGGCATTCATAGCTCATTAGGATCTATATGATGCTCATAGTTCCGACTCAAAAGCGATTGATCAGTTGGTGACTCTCCCTCGTCAGACTTATAATGGTTAGAATTCATATTTTTTAGGATTAGACAAATCTACTATCGAGTGTCCTATAATAAATGGTTGGTTTTATTGTATTTTTTCAGGCAATTTAAAATATGTATCTAAGTTCACATGTGACAAACTTTGTTGATATACGATCAAAGACCGTATATGGACTACTTCCTTATTATATTCCTAGAGAGTTGAACAAATGTGTTCGAAGTCGAGATGTGCAGGACCAAAAAATCAACTTTTATTAGGACTGACATCACGAGAAAAAAACATATGTCAGGATTAGAACTCAAGTTTAAAGTAAAATATTCTATGGCTTGAAGCAAATAATGAATTAGAACATAATTCAAGAGAAATGACCCAAAAAAAAAGTACCTGTCATCGACTAAATAAAAAGAAAGACAAATATTGAAGAATTCGTTTAGACGTAATACGAATAAATCTTGGTCCTGTAGTCCTAAGACAGATAGAATAAAACAATTTTCCTGTGATTAGCAACAGCTACTAAATTGTATTGCATATTTTAATCTTGCAAGAATTGTACTAACAGTTTTTACTCTAACAAAACAATTGATTTTGTTTTTCAAAAAAAAAAAAAAAAAAACTTGTCAGTGTGGAACTAACAAATTCTGAGTGTTATAAATTCATGATATAGCGCCATACTTTTTAAAATAATTTATGTAAAAAACAAAACAAAGCCAAATAAATGAATAAATCATGTTGACATGATTTCTTTTCTTATAATGTTAATATATATGACATATGCCATAGGAAGGAATAATCTTTCGCTTCCCGCCCCTGGTGATATGGAAACATATGTGACAGTCTGTGGTTTCCCGCCATTTGGTTGCTAGGAGCTGTAAAGTGAGTTTCACACAATTAAAATGATCAATATCTGCTCTAGAACTGCCATTCGAGTCGTACCAACTAGATTACATCAGTTCTATATTATTCTTAGATCTATGACAAAATTTAACTGAAGAAATATTTATTATCTCTTTTATATATTCAAAAAATTGATCGTCACTTGAAACTTTTATTTGACTTTGTCTTTTTTTTTTTTAGTGTATTTTATGTATTCTATGATCAATATTTAACAATCTGGCATAATTTAATCGTCAATTTATCTATATCATTTGGTGCTGTTTTTCTTGTAACATTTATTCTACTTGGTTTTGATATTCATACGTCATTTCTCATACTTCTATGTGTTTTTATGATTGTTATTGATATGTTTGGTGTAATGTACTTATGGCATATTGAACTTAATGCTATTTCTGTTGTAAATATTGTTATGGTAAGAAAAAAGAAAAGATAATGAAATATTAATTGTTAAGTATCTGTACTATTGTTGGTTTTCTTTTTCTTTTAGTCTGTTGGTATTGCTGTAGAATTTTGTGCACATATAGCACGATATTTTGCTGTAAGTCAAGGTACAAATCGTTTACATCGAGCAAAAATAGCTTTATCTGAAATGGGTAGTTCTGTATGTATTAATTATCAACTAAATTTTCGTTTTTGATTTGTCTAGATATCATATTTTTATAGGTATTCAGTGGAATAACATTAACAAAAATTGGTGGTGTTGTTGTACTTGCATTTGCTAAATCACAACTTTTTCAAGTATTTTATTTTCGTATGTATTTATCATTGGTAGTTATTGGTGCATTACATGGTTTAGTTTTTCTACCAGTTTTACTTAGTTATTGTGGTTCGTATTATTTGTATGTATTTTCTTAAATGTTGACTTTTATTTTATGGTTTTTTTATAGGTCCACAGTCATTAATTTCGATTGATGATACAAGACAAGAACGTCGAACAAGTACAGCTGTTGATATTACATCAGATGGTATTGAAAATTCTCTTCAAACTAGTTAAACTGGCAGAGATTATTAATATTTATCTAATTTTCTGTGCTTTGCATTTTTTTTTGTTCTCGATTGTCAGATGCTATCGTTCTTGTTTTAATGCACGGAGAAAAAATATGAAAAGTTAGTCTTGATTTTTCTTTTTATGATTTATTCTAATGTACAACGTTGGTATATTGATCATGAGAAATCTATAAATAAAACTTTTTTTTTTTCTTTTTTCTTCCTCAAATTGCTCCTAGTTATTCACAGAATGTCATAGAACAAGAACGGAAGAAAAGAATGATTAGAGTGAAAAAAAAAATGTCAACAGTAAAATAGATCATTACCTTTTTTTTTGCTGTCATATTAGACAAGACAAATATTAATTAATATTTTACCATTAGAACCAAAGTAAGTGAAAAAAAAGTATATTTGCAAGAATCATCGACAGTATGAAATATCAATATTCGAAGTATAATGTATGTCAAGGTTTGTAAAGTGACTAATAATCAAAATTTTAATTGCAATTCAACTATAAAAGTACTTCCTTTAATATTCTTTTTTTTGTCTTTCATAAGATATCGTCAATGATCTTTAAAAAGTTTTTATTAGGGAAAAAAAAAAGTCATGTCTCATATGCAATCGACATGACTTTTCATGTAATCTAAAATTAGTTTAATATAATAACTACACTAGACATATAACCATATCTGTCAAACAAAAAATAGATCTATTACATGATTTATAGTATGTATATTTTAGTTGTGTCAACATTCTGCGAAGTTGAAAGTTAATTTTTCTCTTATCTCTTATTCAATTTTCTTGATTAACATTATCATATTAGACCCAACAAAAGTGATAAATAACAGACTTTTTAATAGTTTATATATTGACTAAAAACAGACGCTGACAGTTTCACAGCATACATATCTATATAATTATTTTAATTGATACTTTGTTTTAATTTTTGTTTTAATGATAATCAATGTACTTAAAATATATAAACCCTTTCATGAAGATTGCTTTCTATTTTCTATTCAGACATTTAGTGACATCTAGAGTAAAAAATAGATTTTTTTTTCTGAACAGTAATACGGTTTTAGAAAAAAAAACCCATCTAAGTAAAATTAATAAGATTTATCTTTCTCTCAAATAAACGATAGAATATGTATTAATTTAATAGTTTGACAGAATAAGAAGATTCTATCCAATCGTTAATGTTCATTAAATCAATATGTAATTCTTAGACATATATGCTGATTTATTATTTTTTTCTTTTGGTATAAAATCAAGTTAAGTAATAAATATTTTCTTTTTGTTTATTTAAAATATTTAAATAGCGATTTCTTTTTCTTTATTATTTCTATAAAAATGAAAATATTATCGATTAGAAATAAAAAAAAAGAAAAAAAAAAGTAATCGAATAGGTCAAAGTGCTTTTTTTTCGTGTATCATTAATTACTTATATATCATTGATGATTTGGATATTTTCCACCTTCGGACTTATTCTTACAATATAAATATTCATTTTGTCATGAATCTGTCATTTTTTTTTCTTTTTTACGCACTATTACTTTGTTTTTTTATTTACCTGGATTAAATCAACAAAAAGTCATGCCTGCCTTTTCCTTTCACTACTTCAATATTTTCTTTCCTTTCACATATATATATATATATATATGACAGAAGACATCAATTTCAGTAGTCTTAATTTATACAATATGTTAAAGTTATAACCATGCAAAAATAAGGAAAAGGTATGATGAAAATATTTGATTTCTTTGGTAGTATTGAGAGCAAGGCAAGAAAAAAAAAAGAAATTATTCTTAATATGTTTCTCAATTAGTTAACTGTAGCGTAGAAGAAAAGTAAGAGAAAGAGAGAAATTGATGTATGCTTTGTCACAGAACAGAACGGAATATAGTAAATAATTATGGACAGCAAACGTCATTGACATGCATAGCATTTTCATACAGTGTAGATATATTTAAATATGAAAAGAATATATAAAAAAAAAAGAGAACGAGAGAAAGAGAATAGAAAAGGAATGATTGAGAAAGAAGGAAAAAAAAACTCGAAGCATGACATTTACTAATCAGGAAAACAAAGTCATATTATTTAATATACTCTTTAGTTTCTTCATTTCGTTGAATAATTATTTTGTTAAAAGAAAAAGAAAGGATGGGAATGTGGGGTTTTTTTTATATGAATGCAGAGGTATGACAAGAATAGGAACGACGCACATTGATATAAAAGAGCCGGTAAAAAACAAAATCAAGCTAGCGTGTAATCACATTGTTAGATAGTTCCTATATCTCAGAGTGGGTGTTAATATTGCTAAATAATAATTTGTTCGTCACGAGATTCTTCCGCATCCGTAGATTCATCAAATATCTTGTATATATATATATATAACTGTTGTTATTAACTGACTCAATTTACATGATTATTATTTTTTTTTTGTTATCTCAGCATGTTATTTTTTATTCTCACATTTCAGATGAAAAAATTATTGCTCAAAATATAATATTCTATCACCTTTATATTTAGTATATAAATAGAAGAAGAAGAAGAAGATTGACATAGCATCAACAATAACAACAACAACAACAACAAAAGAAGATTATGTGTACATCATCAGAAAAATTTTCTGAACAATTTTCTCGTATTCAACAACAATTTAAAGAATGGACACAATTTGAACAATTATGTGCAATTGTTGAATTAACACGTACATTTCAATCATCATATCATTATTTTCTTTTACAATTATTTCAAACTAATATTCAATATGAAAATGACGATATGTTTAATCATACAGTTGATGATGCAAATGGACCAGGTACATAAAATAAATAAATAAATAAATAAATAAATAAATAAATAAATAAAAATATTTTTCTTTAGATATTGTTGGATGTTTATTATCAAATTCATTAGATAAAATATTATTTACAATTCAACTTTATTTACCATTAATATCAATAAAAACAATAAATGATAGATTACTTGATGCATATCGTGATGTTTTAATTTATCTTGATTCAAATATTCTTAATTCAAAAAAATTTACTTATACAGAACAACAAATTATTAATTTATCACAACAAATTTTATTTTTTATTCAAACAAATAAATATTTACAAAAATTATCATTAAATATACCACAATTAATTAAATTAATACAAACAAATAAATTTAATTCCGATGAACAACAACAACAACAATGTCATCAATCATTACAACGTTATTCATCAATTCGTTCACAAGTACAACCATTAATGAATTATTCATCTGAAGGTTCATCACATAATACAACATTATCTCAACAACAACAATTAACACGTCATGAAATAAGTGATAGTGGAGTTGATTTAACTGAACCTTCAATAACAAATCCATTACAAAATTTTTTATCAACACAAATTCAACAACATTCATTTATTGATCGTTCACAACGAACAAATTTACCATCATCAATAAATAAACATTCATTTGTTGTTAAAACAGCATCATCACCAATACCAGAACATGCAACAATAAATATAACAAATCGTATACCATTAACAGGTGTATTAAGTGCACCATCATCAACAATTTATTCTGATTATCGTCATAAAAATTCAAATTATCAACAACAAAAACATAAATTATTATTAACAAAAAATAATGAAGATGAACAAGAATCACAACATTTAAATGATGATTTTATTTCAGAAAAAAATACAATAAATGATAATAATTCAAGAACATTAACACAATTTCATTCACTTCGTTATCCAAATACAAAAATTAATCAAAATAAAGATGATGTATCACAATATTTAGGTGTTGATGCTAATTCAACTTCTGCACGAAATACATTTACACAACCAAATACAGGCATGAGAGGTAAATTTAAATAATGATTTATACGTTTTTATGTTTCCTAACAAAAGAAACCCACCTCAAAAAAGATATTTTCAGGCAAGCGTTATTTATGTACTTTGATACTTCCAAGAAAAAAAAATGAACCTATTAATTAAAAGGAGATTTAATCAGTTAGACATATGCTAAAGGATACTTTTCTATTACTTAGGCTCATCACAATAACATTGTTTTTGATTTTATCAATATTAGATTATTATCTTTTTGCATTTACCTTAGAAAATATTTCTTTGATTAAATAATTTTTTGTTTTCTTTTCTAAATATATATATACACAATTTATTTTTTTTCTTTTTAAGATGTACCAAAATGGTTAAAACATCTTCGTTTACATAAATATGATGTTTTCTTTTCTAAAATGACTTATGATCAAATGATGAATTTAACTATTGAAGAATTAAAAGAACTTCGTATAACTGATGGTGCATGTACAAAAATATTATTAAATATTAAAAAATTAAAAGAACGTTCAACAATATTAAAACAATGTCTCAATGATATTGATGATGGACAAATAGATTTACAAAATTTTGTTCAACAATTAAATGAATTAATGATAACACCAATACGTTCAAAACAACTTGAACAAGAAAATAATAGTGAAGAAGATTTACCTTCATTAATAATGCAAGTTTTAGAAAAAAGTATGATATTATTTTTTTTTAAATCTATTTAATTTTCAATATTTCTTTATTTTTATTATCTATAGTTTATCAACAATTAGAACCTAATTCTTCACCTGATATAAGTAATAGTCTTCTTGGTTTATTTGATCGTTGTTATAGACATGAAGCTTTTACTGATGATCAACGTCATATACTTTTACAATGGCGTCGTCGTTTATCAAATACATTACAATCATTAGGTAAAATTGAATATAAAACAATTCAATCAGCATTTATTCATACATCTCAACAACGTCGTCCAGGAAAACCACCTATAAGACCAGTTAAAAGTTCAACAAATACATATTATCCAAATCATTCAATTTCATTAGTTAAAAATAAATCTGAACCACAAAATAATAATAATTTTATTGAATCTAATTTAATTCAACGTCCAAATAAATCTCCAACACTTATTTATACAACAAATGAAGACACAAATGATATGTATCTTCAAACATCATTTACTGGTTTAACATCAACACCACAACGAAATAATGGTGCTTATTTAGCTAATAATCAACATCAAGCATTAACACGTAAAGCTAGTATTAATCCATATGATGAAACAAATACAAATAATAAAACAAAATTATGTAAAACATTTAGTGATCCAAATAGAATACGTTTTTTTAATACAACACAAATTAATCATATGCAATTATCATCATCACAATCAAATCAACAACAAAATTTATTTCCTATGACATCAACACCTTATTCACAACAACAAAGACATTTTATTTCACGATCACCACCAACATCAACAACTATGGATATAACATCATCATCACCTATTAAAAAATGTTATTCAGATAATGAAAGACCTAATTATTATGGTAAGAAGAAGGAAAAACAAAAAATCATTGTTTATTTTTTGATCTAATCTATAAATGATATGGAGTTAGACATTAGCGAGACTAGTAGATCTCGATCAAGTCCGGAACCAATTCTACGGGTTCTAACAGCCGCTTGTTTTTTTTTTAACTTCGGGACTAGGACCATCTTACGTTCATATCTAGTTGGAATAGAATGAGTATCAGGTATTTTGTAAGAAACTATCCAAATTAATACTCACCATTCGAAACGCATATTACATTTACAAGAAAATCTCGCTTCTAAAAGAGTTCGTGTTCATGGACTCAGAGTCATCCGATCTATCTCTATTAAATTCAAGATAAGCTCAAACGATCAGTTTCAATTCTTGTTGTTAGTTTAAAACTACATATTTTTTGGAAGTGAACTAATTTCATCTCTAGTTCATTTGCTTTTAATGAAAATAAAACAATAGATCTATTTATGCTTAATTGTTTTTTTTTTTATTTCAAGGAAATAACAACAATAGTACATCGTTATCAGATACAAGTTATACTGAAACTACGGATGATCAACGCCATCATAATAAAGAATTTGAATCATTGTGTCTTCAAATAACAGAAAGTGCTATTAGTGATGATAGTAAGAATTTAAAATATTTATTGTTTTTATTTATTAATAATGAAATTTCTTTTTTTTTTTTAAATTTCTTAGTTAATGACTTATCAATTAATCATAAAGAAGAAATTTCTGATGTTTCAAATTTAAAACAATCTTCAAATAATTCAACCGATACTGAACAATAATCGATTGATTTAACAGAAAATAAATAAATAAATAACTAAACATCTTTCTTCTTTTAGTTTGATGTAAATGTTTTCTTACTTCTATCTTTTCTTTCGTTTCTCAGAGTGTCTGGTACATTCAAAACAAGTTTTATTCTTGTTTTTTGATTTTCTATTATAAATCTAGCTTTTGTTGTTATATTATTGTTGTCGTACCGTCCGGTGGTAGAAGTAATAAAAATAAAAATAAAAATAAAAATAAAAAAGAATTAAACGACAACATCGAATGTATAGCCGGTGAGCTTTTCTTCTTTCGTTTTTCTTTTTCGCATCTTAGCTGCTGCGCTGCTTTGTTTTCTTGTATGCTTTGAAACATAAAAATCTATGTACAGTAAAATGATGACTTATTCTCACTCTAGTTTTTCTTTTCTTTTTGTATTAGCACATTTCGGCAGTGCCATTTGCTAAGAAAATTAAACATTTATTTGACGGAATTAACTTATATTTGTATACATGGGAAATGTTATTGTTTTTTTTTTTTTGTTGTTGCTTCTTTTAAACGTATATTTATGTTCATCTATTTTCATGTTCTGTCATTCATTGATTAAAAATTTAAAAAAATAATATGATCTATAAAAATTTATATTACTTATTACTCAATATTGATCGTTATATGATGTTGAATAATCAAAGTAAATATATACTCCGGTCGACGAATACAGAGTTTGTATACGGGGAAATACGATAAAATACATATTCTAGTATTATGATTGTAAACCTTCGTGTCGTATACGTTTACAATCTTCATACACAAAGTCCGTATACGGTATCCGTTTTACTCCGTGACAGATCGCATCTCACCGTCTACGGTCACGGCAGTATACGATCGTAATACTGAGTCATTTATTACGGTAAAATACGGCCGTATACGATTGGAAACGAGCGTGCATGGGCTGTTTCTTTCCATATATGGACTCCGTAAACCTCGTTCTGGGATACAAAGAGGAGACCGTATACGATACGAAGATATATGATCGTAATACTGAACCATATGAATCGTTATATACGGCCGTTTACGCCCGTGCTTGTTTGACCTGAGTGGGTGGTACACATAAAATCACCTAGGTGAACGGATACGGAGTGATCATACGTTTGTACACCACCGTTTTTTTTCTCCGTATATTGTCATGTACGACCGCCCGGTTTAAAGAATAAAATGAAATGAATAATTTATATTTATCAGTGATTGACTTGATGCCATAATATAATCTAAAATGAAGATAAAATAACCCAGATGGAATAAGCACGACTGTAAATTGCTGTGTAACATGTCTCTATATTATGATCGTATTTCTTCGCCATACGCCCTCGGTTTTTTTGATTGAGTATTCTAGCTATGGTCGTTCATCGGACAATTTTGCCATGAATGATCAATTTTCATGATTTTTCACTAATTATCATTGCGGTAGGCTTTATCCAAAAAATTTCAACAGATTCATTATTAATAATAGAAGATGCATGTGAATCAAATGATTGTAAAATAACATTTTCATTGTTACTATTATCAGATTGTGAATATATAGATTTACTCTTCTTTTGAATAGATGAAAAAAAAAAAAAGAATCAAGAATTTTTCCTTTATTTTTTTCTATGGATCAACGTTCTGTGCAAAACTATTCGCTCTTTACGAAGTGTAATTAAATTAAGCATTCTTTTGTATGTGTATCTTTTGAAGATATTGTCTTCTCTGATTTTACATTGATTATTATTTACTTGTTTATAAGAAGTGTCAAAAAATTCCAAAAAAAAGTAATCATTAATTATTTTATTAGATAGGAATAAAATATATAACACTTCGCTTTTTAGAATGATTACTATGTTGATTATTGAAATTAAAAATCGAAATTATTCCAGAGGAAGAGAGAAGACAGCTCAGCCCTCTCTGGCCTTCATCTGGTCAAAAGCAAAAATGGCCGATTTCACTTCTGAAGAATATTTTCAAGCATCCGTAGTCGAAGCTTCAGCCTATTCGAATAAAATGTGCATCAATTGTATCCTCTTTGAGAACCAGAAATGACCAAAAAGTGGTGGACTCTTAAACGGTTTAAATTGGTTATGTTCGTGTGTCGAACTTTGACATGGTTATCATTCATAAATGACTTTTAGATAACGAGATAATATATATTCTTATGTCATCATCCTTCTGAAATTATTATATACACATATTTTGAAACAAGATAAGAATATCGTGAAATTCAAAGAACTTTTTAAATAAAAGAAAATAATGAAAATTCTATATCGAAAATTTTTGATTTTATGTTTACAATTTGACCTAAAAAAGACTATTGTTTAGAATCCAACTTATCAAATCTTCTGATATTTAGATTTTACAGAGATTATAAATTAATAAACAAAAAAGGAAAAGAGAACTGATTTATCGCAATATTTAATGTACATCATTTTTGTTTCGAAATATTTTCAGTCTCATGGAAATTCTTTTTAAGATAACAATCGAATAAAAAAAATCATACACGACTTACAAGGACAGTCCTTCAATTAATAATCCACTATTGAGTCGAAACTATGTGCATCAAGTTGACCGGTGTGGATATTCATTTCATCTACATTCACACCCTATAGTTAAAACATTTTAGGCTTATCAAGTCATGAGGAACACCAATAACAGGTAGCGGACTATACTAAACTGTATCCAAATTTTTTAAATGAATGCCAGAGTCTCCCGACAGGAAAACTCATATTTAAATTTCGACTTGAAACTTTTTTTGGTTTTGTCGTTGTTTCCTATCTTAAGATACAACTATGGTAATAGCGTGTCTTTTATATCGCTCATGTAAATCGGTAGATTTGAAACAAAAGATTAGAAAAATTCACAAAAACTATTCTTGTTAAAGCTTGTACCTGTATAAAGCTTCAAGTAGAAGTTCGAAAATCAGTTTTTCTGAGATAGATAACGACATTCATTAAAAAAATACTGTAACGAAATCGAGTATGTTTGCAGCAGCAAGCTAACAGCATGAACTTTTTGTAGTGTATTCATAGCTTATTTAGGTCTACGTAATACACATAGTCTCGATTCAATAGCGATTTATCAATTAGAATATTTTCCTTGTTACCTTGAACAGAATTTAAAATACGAGTAAATGTACACAAAATTTTTTTGAAGTATTTTCTATGTAACTCATATGGCTTTAGAACAAAGTCTTTTATTAGTAAGTGATAGTAGGTATTTAGTTTTATATTTTTTTTATTAAAACAGAATTTCAAAAGTGTTCAATCTCATATAAATAATAGGATATAACCAGTAAGAATCGGAAAATAGTTAATAGCTGATTATTTTGTTTTAAATCCGATTTAATTCAATAGAATAATCAAGAATTTATAATCATAAAATCTATAGATTTAACATTTACACATTTTCATAATGAATTTTTATGTATAAAATTTTTCTATACTACTGACATATATGAAATATTTGTCAATCAAGAAATTATAGTCTTTTTTTTTTTTTTACTTTAAATACATAAAAAAAAAAAAACGAAATACTAGACTAAGAACAAATTGTCATGTCGATGTTTGATCAAATGATTGAACCGATTCATGACGAGAACCAGATTGTTTTGATGATGGTGCTTTTGATACAACAACAATTTCTTTTTCTGAAAGTACTTGTACAAAAAATGCACCTTCTCGTTTACGAAATTTTCTATTAGCTGCATCATATGATAATCGTATACCAACAGATAAACTTAATAAACAAAGAATACATTCAATTGATGATACAATTAATGCAATAAGTACAAGTACATCTTTTTCTTCTTTTAAATAAGCTTGTCCATCAGTCATTATATTAACAACTCCTAAACGTAAAAGTTGAATGTTAACACAATCCACAATAAGTGTGACAATACTTAATGCTACATAGCATAATATCTAAATTAGAATAAACATAATTTTAAAAAAACAAAAAATCAAAGTAGAATTAACTTATAAACTAATTTTATTTACCACATAAAGACCTTTTTGACGTGCACAGATTATTCCAGTTGCACCACAAAGAGCAAACTTAAAAGAACAAAAATGATCTTTTTTTCTTTTCAAAGAAATTTATGATTTAATAAACATACAAAAATGCCACTCCATATAGGTGATACACTATGTGCCATCCAGACAAGTGATCGACTTTGTGAAATAATGCCAACAATAATACTTATTAAGGCTAGTAAGAGATGTGATGATGATATAACATAGGTTAGTGTAATGAAAATGTACATGAGATAAACAACATAAGTATCATCTCGATCGGTTCAACGTTTACCGACACAACAAAAAATGAACAAATAAAAGAAAAAAAAAAGACGGCAATATGAAGACTAAGGATAGGCGTACGTCACATCTCATAAAAGATTAAAAACGTTCGCTTCTATATTTTTTTTCTTTTATCGCTAATAACAAACAAGTTTATTCAACGTCCGGAACAAGAAAAAAAAAGAGGAAAAGAAATGAACGATTTTTCTCGTTTGTTTTTTTTTCCTCGAAGATCGTACGAGCGTGTTCAGACGGGCGTGCAAGTCATATTGAACAACGCAAGCGTTAATAGAATCTGTTCATACTAGCAAACTAAAGAACATGTAGTGCTATCCAATAAGAAGAAACCACAACATCTCGATCAAGGACATTAACAATAACAAGGATTTTTTTTTATAACTAAATCGTCGATGTTTGTTCGGCATTGATGACAAGTTGAATTGGTAGCTCGTTGGACTGATCGTTATGTGTTAAGAAAAAAAGAAAAGAAAGAAAAAAAAAAGAAATAATTTTCAGTAAAAAAAAAATGTATTACTCAATAAATATTAAAATTCAGAATTCTAAATATTTTAACAATAATTGAATATCATATAATTCATGTGAACAAACAAAAAATTTATCAAAGACAAATGTTCTATTAAAAACAATTGACATATAATTAATCTAAAGAAATTAAAATTTTTTTCTCTTATTATACAATCCACAATTACAAAATCATACCCTGGATTGAAGAAGAAAACAGATAGTATCAGTTTTTTTTTTAGTCACAAGAGCGAATAGACCTCGAAGAAATTCACCGAGTTTGATCTTTTTTCTGTTCGTGATATTCAAATGTCTTAATTTAGACTTCTGTCAAGATGTATTTTATGAAACGGAAATTTCTTTCGAATGTTTTTTTTTCTTCACTAAACAAATACTTTATCATGTTAGAATCATCCCTAGAATACGATGAGAATCTAATAAAAGATATGTAGTACAAAATGCATGAGTAAATTTTAATCGGATTAGATTTTTATTTCTTTCAACAAAGGTTTAAGATTATTCTATTCATTCAATTCAACAATTGTAGATCTTCAAAATGATATGCGTATTGAATGTAATGTAGATTTTTTTTGTTTTTTCACTTATTAAGAAGCAAAAAAATTATTCTTAATAATATTTGAGTATGAATTGACTGTTATAAAATAATATATTTTAATTTTTGAACGAAAAATAAAAAATTTGACAAAATGTTCGATCATTTTTCAATATCATAAATTTTTAAAACATTAGATTAGAATCAGAATTTTGTATTGTTTTCTGAGATGGATTCAAAATTTTTATCGTATTTATGAATCGATTTGTTAGTGATGTGTAAATTAAATTTCGATAAACTTTCGTATGACAAAATTTTTCCAAAATAGAAATAGAAATGATTTCGAATAGAACAAATATTTTCTTTTTTTTATAAAACATTATTAGTTTGCTGTAAGATATTTGTCAATAGTAAATATTTTGGTAAAGAACATTTTGTTAATCTAGACTTTTTCCTTGATTTCTATGTAAAACAAATTTGTCAAATGAACTCAATCATTCTTAAATGATTGTTCTGAAACTCTTGATTTTTTTCTATCAATTTGTAGACATTTGATTCTATGCAAAAAACCAAACGTTTAAACTTAAGTTTCTGCATCTCGTTCGACTTATAAAATTCGTAGAAGAACTTCGAACCTATATTCAACAAATGCTGTTCTTTAAGTAGAATAAAATTGTGTATTGAGATTTGTTCCTAGATTTAATAAATATTTTTTTTTTTTTTTGTTTTCTTTATATAATTGAAAAATTCAAATAAAATAAAACAACAAATACACATATGAAAATTAAACGTTATTGTTGATCAATTGATTGAGATAAAAGAAATCGATGATGTGATGAAAGATTTTTTTTATAATATTTTGGTGTATTTGTTCGTATAGTTAAAGGTCGTATTAAACCTGATTGAACATCTGGTTGATAAAATTCTAAATAATCTTCTGAAAGAATTAAACCATTTGTTGATGTTTGAAAATTTGATTCTTCAATATTATTCATTTTTAATGAAAAACATTCTTTATTGAGTTTTGTTGAATTACAATAACCATTTGAATTTCTATATTCATCATCATCATCATTATTATTATCTGTTGTTAATGATTCTTTCTTTAAAATTGAACGATTATTTATTATACGAACTATAGGAATTGATAATGATTGTTGTATTTCAGATTTATTTATTTGTTCAATAAATTGAGATTTTGAAATCTTTCCATTAATAATTGATTTTGATGATATTGAACGATTTTTTCGTTTGAATTTTTTATTTCTTGCATGAAAATAAGATATAATAGCAATTAATATTAGAATAAAACAAATAAGAATTAGAATAGAACCAGTTAATAAACGTGATTTAAATAAAAGAATTTCATCTAAAATAAATAATTACAAACAAAATATTCATTTTTTTCCTTTTTTGCAATTTAATGATCTTACTATTTTGTTTTTTTATTATATCATCATAATTTATTTCACATTCATCACCCATATATTGATTATCACATCTAATTAAAACAAATTGTAAATCCTCGAAAATCTTTTCAATCAATCAAAAAAAGCTTAACGAATCAATATGATTCTCTCCCTCTCTTTTTTAAGAGATTAAAAGATTCTTGACTACTTACAAACATTTCCATTGATTATCAATACTAATACATTGACCTCGATGATGACAATATTTTAAAATGGCACAAGTCAAATTTATATTCGATTGATTTATTATATTAACTTGATCGACATCTATATAAACACTAGTCATCGTATAATTTATTGCATTTTCTGCATCTAATTAATAAATAAATAAACATTTAATGAATATTAAAATGACAAAAAGTCTACTTACGACACATATAAATGCCACTATCGTCCATTGATAATGTTCGAAAATATAAAAATGATTCATATCTAAAAATAAATCGTTTATAAATAAGAAAAAAAAAAAAACGAACAATTAAATATTCTTTTATTTTACTCATTTTGAATAGAATAAATTCGACATGGTATTTTACATTGTTTAGCTGTTGGATAATATTCTAATGTTTGATTATTTTTACTCCATAATAAACGTGGTAATGGATTACCACGAACATTACATTGTAAAGAATAATCATTTAATAAAATTGGTTTATCAATTTGAGTTTTAATAATAACTTGCGGTGCATAAGTTTCTAAATATAAAAGAAATCAAAATTTTCAATTGAATTTGATTGAATATACATAATTATAACTATTTTTAAATATTAACTCAACATATTTTACATTACATTCATTTTCAAACAACGGATTTTTTTCTTCTTTTACATGTCACCGAAAGAGTTTCGGCAATAAAAACAAAAGAAGAACATGAACATGAACATAAACACTTGTATTCAATTGAATAATTTATTCAATTCAAATATTATAAATTATTTACCATAATTTATAACAGCATCAATATTATATCGAACATATAATGTTGATTCCATAGGTGGATATCGTAAATCAAATTCATTTGTATTTGTTTCATTAAGAAAAAGTATAATATCAATTGTTGTTATACGAAGTAAATACCAACATGAATCATCATATATTTCTTCAATATTATTATCAATTCGAATTAATATTAAATCATTCATTTTTATTTTATTATAATTATTTGTTGAAATTTTTATTACTTCACGTACAAGAACTTCACTTATTATAAGAGTTTTTTCAATTGTTTCAGATGAATATGTTGGTTGCACACGTAATATTAATGAATGACTATATGTAGCTGATTGTAAATCAATAGGATTTAATAGATTACATTGAGTTATAGAGATTATTTGATAAATATTATTAATCAAAATAATTAATATGATAGTAACATTCAACATGCAATAATTAACTACATAGAGATCATTTACAAAAAAAAAAAAAAATGAAAATGCTTATACAAAAATAAGACAATTTGTATGTGTTGTCTCTACTGTGCTCAGTTTTTTTTCTCTCTTGTAGAAGTTTCTTTTGAAGAGAGAAAAAAAAAAAGAAAAGCAACGATAGAAAAAGAAAGAAAATCATCAATAATAAAGCGGAATTGAGCGTGGAATAACATAGAGACGTGCTCATAAATCGTTGTTGTCATCAGTATTATTATCATCTCAAGTCATTAGTTTTTTTTCTATCATTGATAATCTATTGTTTTATTTTTTCTACTAGACGAATGATTAAAATGAACAAAAAAAAAAAGATCTTAGTCTTAATGATGAAACGTGATTATCATTGAAGATAGTTAATAAATGTCATTGAACTTGTTGGAAGTTAGGAAAAACTTAATACATCTTAATTTTATCGATAAATGCATTCATGCTTAAACTTACTATTAAGATAAATCTTTCCAAAAGAAACTTTTATAAGATATGACAAGTGTATAAAAATTTATCTCCTAATATATCATTTAAAAGTCTTAATGATGAATTCAACTATCATATATAATATTTTAGTAAAAAATAAAAAACAAACTTTGTTTTTCTTATCCTTAAAAATAATAATGACGATATTTGTCATATGACATGGTGATATCAAATTGAATATGCAAAGTTAATCAACGAAAACAAAAAAATAGCTTTTAGCGCAATCACCATGGGGATTAAAATGTGAAACATGATGTAGCTACTTTTGCTAATCACAGGGAAGCCTTTTTATTCAATCTATTCTAAGACACGTTTCTTCACCATCCTTTTACTTAATGCTTCGGAAACGCATTAAGGAAGTGGTCATGTATATATATATATATTATAGAGTCTGTGATCTCATATCAACATTTTTAGATCGTGTTTCACAAAATTTTTGTCAAGATCTCATATAAATATCATAGTTGCATATATATATAGAGTATTTTGTCCTTAATATTCATTCTAGAATCATTAGTATCTATTCTTATCATACAAACATATTCACAAATATATTAAGTTGTAAATTGTACAAATGATATGATTGTCGAAGATCAAATGTTTAGATTCCAATTGACAGTACTCGTCTTAATCGCATTTATAATTGTCTTAATAGTTCTTTGGACTATGTAATTTCATGAGTTAGATTTTATTGTACGGATACTTCTGGAATCATTAAAGACCATTGTAGGTGATAATTTGATGGTGAATTTTCAATAATTGAGCTGACGTTCTTTAAAACATCATAGTACCACTAGTTAATGTCTTGTATCGCATATGTATTTGACACCAAGATCTGATAATGATATCTATATAATAATACTAGACATCTATATCAGAGATGGACAAAATCGCACCGCGCTTCCCCGCGCCGCTGCTCGCGCCTAGGCGCTACCCACATCTCTCTTTCTCTTTGCTCTACCAATCAGTTTCTCAAACTTCACCGAATACCGGGATGCTCTAAGCATGCGCTCATCGAAGCTCAGACTAGTGTAGCGTAGGCGTGAGCAGCGGGGCGGGGAGGCGCGGTGCGATTTTGTCCATCTCTGATCTATATGACCGTGATTTTTTAGTCACAGTCACCACCACAATCATACGTATGGAGAAGATTTGGTATTTTTCTTTTTTTGTTACTCAAGTATCCTCGTCGTGGTCACGCGTGACCGTAACCATTTTGCAGAGTTGTCTCTCATCAATATTCTTATCAATCATTCAACAGTTATCAATATACAAGTAAGTAATACCGTAGAAAAAATGTGATTGCATTAAAACTATTATCAATAATTCTCAAACCAAAGTTGAAGATACAAAATTTCAAGAATGAATTATGGATAACATCAATTTCATAGTTTACCTAGTAAAAATCGAAATCATTATCTATCGATGAATCCCCATGATTATTTTTTGTATTTCATTTCTCTTAGAGCGCGTATAAAGAAATATTATATTCAAATCCTATGATCGAATAACTTTAATATTTTCTATTCGAAAGAAATTTATTATTAGAAAAAAAAATCAAAAAGAGCACCCATAAATGGTTATTAAATTTTAGGAAGAAAAAAAAACACCAATATAATTATACAGCTTAAATTGAAAACATTTTATGATCACACTAAAAATCATCCATTGGTATTGTACCATAAGCAGAACTATATACTTGATCTTAAAAAGAAACAAGCAAAATTGATTAATCTATAAAAAGAAAAAAAAAATAGTTGAACTTACTTCGTGTCATTTTACGTGACGACATTTCAACATTCGAATGTGTTACTGGTTTCGTCATTCTTGCAGATAAATCTCGATTACTAATCACTGGACTCAATGGTTCTTTATCAAATCTTGGTGATTTCGATTGTTGATTAGATAATGATCGTGTATCTATTAATGCCGTAGGTCCTGTTCGTGAATGATATGAACCTTTTGATAATAATTCTTGTTCATTCGTTGATGAAATTTTAAGATTTTTATTACTATGAGGAGATATTGAATGTTGAGTTGGTGATAATGAACGATGATATTTATCAATAAAAGATTCTTCTTGTCGTTTTAATATATTAGAAATTTTTTGATCACTTCGTTGAGATGAATATGAATCATCAAATTGTGTTTTTGATATATCACGTAAAGATGTTTGACTTCTTGGTGATTTTTCTAATGGTTCAAGATTCAATTTTGATGAATGTTTTAAATCTTCATCATTATATTTATCATGTCGATAATCAGAAGAAGATTTTTTTGTTGATAATGATGATGATGATTTTGATTTTGTTTCAGTTGTTGATAATTGACTTGATTTTGGTGTTAAATATATTTCTGGTTTTTTACCTTTATCTGTAGTTAACCAAGAATTAGTTACAAATTCATAAATATCATCATCTTTTTCATTAATTGATGTTTTTATTAATGAACGATCTGATAAAAATAATGAACGTATTGTTTGATCTAAATCAAATGTATTACGTTCTTCAATAGAATTTATTTGCCATTTATTATCATGATAATTATGAGATGATATCCAAGTTGCTTGATGTTCAAAATGACCAGTTTCAATTTGTGATAATAAATTATCTTTTTTAGATTTTTCTTCAAATTTTTTTTTCATTCGTTGTGTATCAATTGTAAATGGTTCATCTTGTGAACCAATACTTTGTTCATCCCATGTAACTTTTTTTTGTAAATTATTTTTATCATATAAAATTGGACTACGTAATATACTACGATTACTTGTTAAATCATCTAAATCTTTTAATTTTGAACTTCGTCGTTCATTTGAAGATAATCTTAGATTATGATCTTTTTTTAATTGTTCACAAGCTTGTTGATATAAAATTTGACTAATTTTTTCAAGACGTTGTATATATATATTTGTTATTAAACGACATGTTGAATGTTTTTTACGAATTATTATTGAATCAAGTAACCAAGCTGAACCTATACCAGTATTATCATGCCAAATTTTTATTCGATCAATTTTTCCTACATCAATATCCATGATCTATATTAAATAAACAAAAGTCACATTCTATACTGTTAATTTTGGTAATGGATAATAGAGATCGTTCGAATGTGTTCATAAAAAGCTTTATGCCAAATTCAATTATAAAGCTAGCATATAAAAGTTAGGTATTTTGAGTATGTGCTTAAGCCAAGTCGGCTGATCTATTGGTAAAAGATATGGATTTTTGTACTTTTTATAGATATTGAATACTTAAGGACGTCCCTCCTCCTCCTTTGTCGAGGCTTCTTAAAAACGGCTCGGTAGAAACTTTCAAAGGAAATAGATGTCAATGGGTAGAGTAAAAGTTATTTCTTCCTCGTCCCAATATTCCAAAATTTATCTGTTTTCCAAAAAAACAGTTAGCACTAAATCTACGTGTAGTGTTTTTTTTTTCTTCGAACAATACTGAGCTGTTAAAAAATAAGAGTCAAACTATTGAGAGCACTGTAAGCAAAGCTTGAATTTTTGAATCTTTTTCAATGGATGCAAATTCTATAATATCTGTCAAAGTTCACGGATACGATAATTTTTCAAAAAAAAAAACAAAAAAAATCTTTTTGTTTATATTTTCTTACAGTAAATTCTGATGTTGTATTTCGTTCAAAATCATTTTTTAATAGATTATCTAAGTGATGTATAGTAGTTCGACCACTTTTTCCATAGATAATTATATATACATTTGCATCTGTACCAGCTCCCATGTCTTTACCAGTTTTAACTGTTATGTGATAACATGTAGGTCCTATAAATCATAATAACAAAAAACAAATTGTATTCATAAAGATCAAAAAAAAAAATTACCTTTTTGATGATGATCAGTTGATGGATATATTTCTCTTTTTGCTTTTAATTTACTTTGTGCATCTCCAAGCCAAGTATTAAATGGAAAATAAACTTGTAATTGTCTATCATCCTTAATAGGTATTATTTTCCACATTATCATTTCTTTTAGATCCCAATCAGATGCTAATTGAGATTTATCAGATTCAACACTAGAAATTCAAAAAAAAAACATTGTTTTTTTTTCCTATTTACAATCTCTCTCTATTTTATAGATTAAAAGATTATGATTGAATTACGTTATCTCTAATAAATCACCAATATCTCCACCAACAATTGCAAATGTATCTAATTGATTTTGTTCAAATAAATTTGCTCCACTACTTGTTAATGCTAATTGTCGTGTTGGACTTGTTGAACCACGAATAATAACTTGAATATTTGCATCAGTACCAGCAAATGCTTTTCCACCAGTACGAATTTGTAAAATATAAACTAAACAAATAAATAAACAATTAATTATAAAAAAAAGAGGCTGCTAGTGCAAAATCCGTAGGATTAACATGCAAAACACAATGTAGCTGTTCTTGATAATCATAGAGAGATTATTCTATTCTATTTATTTTGCGATACATTTCTTCATCCATCCTTTTACTTGATTCTTCAGAAATACAATAAGGAAATAAGTCATATATTATAATGAGATATTATTTATGTACGGTCTATGATGTGGGAAGAAGTAGAGATGAAGCCGGTACCAGTTACCGGTCAAGTTGCTATCAATGTATCTTATAGAGGAAGTGTAATGAAACTTTGTTGAAAGTCGACTATAAAAATCTAGACAGGTTCTATCTCTAGTGAAGAGAAGGTGTTGCTATGACATCTGTCGTGATCAGAGTCCTGCATAGAGTCAACTAAATTTTTGATTAAAAATTTCGCTTTAGCCGAGGAACTTTTTTGAATTGTAGGTTTTATTTTCGAATATTTTTACTGTATAAACTAATGCATTATGCTAAAGGTAAATTTTCGGCAAAAAAATTTAATTGACTCAGTGCAGGACTCTAGTCACGATCTGTGACGAGCCGTTTCTAATGTCTCTATCACAATCTGTGAGAGGATGCAAATTTCTACTCTATTACACTTCTATAGTCTTTTCAAATCATGTTTCACAAAATGAATATTACCTGATAAATTATCCAATGATAATTCTCTTCGTTTTTTAACAGTTGGTTTAATTACATCATCTTCTTGTTTTTTCGGTAACCAACAATTAAATTCACATAACCATGTAACAGATGTATTTAAATTTGTTATTTCAATTTCTTTTAGAAACCATTCTTTATCTGAACGAGCACCAACAAGCTTCAAAAAATAAAAACAAAAATATCAATCATAGAAAACAAATCATAATAAATTTACATTAACATTTAAATGATGCAATTGACCAATATCAGGTCCTTTAAGACAAAATGTTCGTATTGATCCACTTGGAAAACCATCTGAATTCGTATTTGTACGTGCTTGTAAATTAATTGATGTCCAATTTTTTTCTGTTCCATACATATATAAAAAAACCTTTAAATACAAAAAAAAAAAAAAAGTCGCATATATAAATTTTTTTTTCCGTTCATACTTGAGCTCGTGTACCACTATTTTTTCTTATACCAGTTCGAACAATGAATCGATAAGGTACTAAATCAGATGTTGATGAACTTTGAACAGTTCGATCCAATGATGATGATCGAGTTTTGAGAGCTTTTGGATTATTATATGGAATTAATTTTCGTCGCTAAAAAAAATTTGTTTTTTTTTTTAAATATTTTTGATTAAATTAAATTTATACTTGTGATTGATCACGAGGTTTAGTTCGTTCATGATGATGTTGATTAATTGAACATAAATAACAAAATGTATGTTCATGATCATCATAAAAATCTATAAATGTAGAAAATTTATTTTTATTAATAATTGTTTTTGAAAAAAATCTATAAACCTGTTTTATGAATTCCAGTAATATTTGGTTCTATTGTTTTATCAGTAAATAGAACACCTGTATTCATCCATTGTACATTAACATTCGAAAATGGAGATTTTATTTGTAATTGTTTTTCATTAGTTGAATATAATGGTTCAAAACTATGTCGACGAGCAATTATTTCTAAATCACTTGCAGAAGTCAAATCTAAAATAAAAAAATATCATCTTTGACATATATTTATTTTTGTTGTTATTTACTTGATTTTTGTGTATCAGTAAATGATGCTTGACTTGATGAATAAAAATGATCACCAAATGGAAGTGTCCATGGAACATCACCTCCAATATATTTGACATCCATGTGTGTAATGTATTTGTTAATGTTTTGTGTTCTGTTGTTATGCTACCATTAGTTTATAACATACCTTGGCGATGACTTCGGTTGGTTACAAGTGAAAAAGAACAAAAAGCAAAAAAAAATAAAGTCTTCGTTCTATTCTCTTTCTTTTTAACGATAAGTATTAAAAAAAATTTCATTTTGAATGTTTTCAAAATGTAACAATACTTTGTATACTAAATGACTCATTAATTGATTAAACACCATTCAGTTGTATTTTGAAAAAAAACCCTAATGCTCGATTGATGTACATATGTGCTGAAAACAAAGTATACCTTCTAACTTGTCCTTAATCGATAATCTAGATAGATTGTCCCATTTTATGAGGATAACAATTAAAGTTGATACTATATAATACTTTTTTTCTATTTCAAAAATATATTTTCTGAATTAATTGATTCACTTCTCATTGAGAAGATCAATGCACGAAAAATGAAGCTGAGCAGAAAACGAATAAAGGAAAAAGATTATCGCAACATATATGATAGAATAGCTAACAGAAATGAGACTAGAGGTGTAAGCTGATGAGTTGATCGGCAGCGGCGGCTGTTAAAAATAACATTTGGTTCTGCCTACGGTAGCAGTGGCTAACGAGGTTTAGCTAGTCGGCGGTAGTTCAAGGTTTTTCATGATTCTTTGTTTTCTTGATTTTGAAATGAACAAGTAAATCACAAAAAACCGATAAAAAGCAGATTTTTTTTACTTTCTTTGGTAAGAACATTCACGAAAACTAATCCTGAATGTCCAAAATATGTGAAACCTATGTATGTGTTTTGTGCAACGGCGGCTGAGATTTTAAAAAAATTTTTGCGGCTATCGGCGACGGCGTATATTTAGAGAATGAGCTATACCATAATAATTGCCAAAAAAAGTAAGGTTTTTGATTTTTACGATTATTTTTTGATGCATTTGCTAAATTTTTTTTCCATTTTTTATGTAAACCTTTATATTCATAACGTCGATCACGAAATGCACGAACTGTATCAACATAAAAAGAATTTTCACATTGACATATAGTTGTTTCTCATGTTTCTTCTCATGTATGATTCACTTTTTTATATGCTTTTTTGTTTGCTGCATGAGTAGTATCTTGAGGATAGTATCGAAGAACATTGTATATATTTTTGTGATATTGCGAATAGCATGAATTTTCATCGCAATGACTTTCACAGTAGACTCCCAACAATGACCGAAAAGGTATTTCCTCATTTCAGACATTCTCACCAAGTACTGTGTGTGCGTGTTAATCATGTCAGCAGTATATTAATTGCATTTAAAGTAAAAACAAATGCTACTGAAAGTCAACTGCGAAAGTCACTACGGCGAACTTCCTGTTTCCCATCAATCAGTACTCCACTAATTATAGTCACACTAATTAGTAATGATTTAAATAGTTGAGACTAATTAGTACCCGATCACTGGATACTTAACTAATTAATATTCAATCAACGACTACTCAATTAATCAATACTCAGCTAATTAGGAATCAAAATTATTAACTACTTAGACAATATATAATGGTAGAAATCTATGTTCAACTTTGAAGGAGCCCGCCCCTAGTATACAATTCTCTCCCGAAACACGTTTCTCTTTGTGTGTATGGGCATATCGTTGTCTGTCGCTATCGACACTATCACCAACATTATCGTTCAAGGACTATTGCACATGTAGGAGCCAAAAGGAGTGTTGAGACTTACACATTGTAATAATTGTTGATGAGCTTTGTTATCCTTTAATGAGCAGGTCAGTCTATATTTTCAAATATTCCAACTATTCTTTTTTGTGTACTCAAAAAGTGAGTACACTCTAGAATCGGTCAGTATGTCCGGCCGTCCGTTAACACGATAACTTTTGAAAGGAGAGTCCAATCGCGATGAAATTTTCTACACAGTTCAGTCTTAACAATGTCTCGGTCGAGTTCGAAGATGAGTATGATCGGCCGAGCCATTCGTGAGTTATTGCAAAAATTGTCATTTTTCCCTATAGCTTCCTATGCGAAAACTGACCCATCTTGGCTTTCGTAAACAACTTTTCCTTTCATAGTTAAATAAAACCCCAACTATTATATACCTTTCGATAGAGAATTTCACGAGCTACAAAATGGTATATAAAACATAAAGTAACAAGAAGGCTAACTCACCTATTACAAAGATAATTAAAGGGAAATGGGTTCCGTGTTTGTCCACGATCTAGTTGACTCACAATTCGAGCTCTATCTTCCGATCATAGAGTTGATACTTTGAGGTTTTCTGGGGCGGAGAACTCGAATCCGTACTCCACTTGCCTCGAAATATTATTGGTTGAGCAGTGGCCAATAGAAATCAAGTTACGTATAGGAAAAAACGACTTTCTTAGGGTTAATCAAGACGAAGAGTTCAAATTTGAGCTCTATTCGCCTCCAAGGCCTATTGATGGACCAATAGCCAACAGAAATAAACAGTTTATAGGAAAGGTTTCCCAGTATAATTTTGATATCCACACATTCTAGGATGACTCATCTGTCTAGTTCACTTTTTGAAGTACACATAACTCTCGGATTTAAATCCGAAGTTTCCGCATTTATTTAACACAAAATTTACCTATGCT